TTAGTGGATACAAACGACAGACCTAACACATATTCTTTAAGTTACAACACATCAACTAACAAATTTACAATCAGTTCTAATTATGCAACAGTTATTTTTGTTCTTCTCACTGATGGGGAAGTTGCGCCAGTGGCAAATTTGTTTAGTGACCCTGTTGATGTTAATAACTTATATTCTTTAAACCGCGTGATTGGCAACACAACCCCAGCAACCGACGCTTATACTAATGTAGCACCTTATACAACTAATTTTATTGATTTAACACCTGTTAAAAATGTTTATTTGCATTGTAATGAAATTAGCAACTATAACCAATTAACAGTAGCGGGTAACTCAAGTATTATAAAAAAGATTCCCGTTAATGTTCCTTACTTAGGGGTCATTAATGATTGCGAGTTGAGCGTTGTTGATTATATTGACGTCTCTAACAAATTATTAAGAAGATTAAATTTTCGTCTTACTGACCATCTTAACCAAAATATTAATTTAAACGAGGTGGATGTTTCATTCACGATAACATTTTTTAAAGGTTAAAATAACATATAAAATTTCTATATAGAATATATGGAAACGATTAATAATGAAGTTCAAGAAAGTCAAAATGAAGAAGCAAATGAAAAGGTGGTTGAAAATATTATTGAAGAAGCGACCGAACCACAAGAAATTAAACAAGAGGAAGCAAAGCAAGAAGAAGCGGAAGAGAAACCGAAACCAAAAGCAACGGCGAAAAAACTACCGAGAACAGTAAAGGTCGTAGAGATGGTAAATTGTCCCGACTGTGATAAAAAGATGTTACCCAAGAGCTTAAAACATTCACATCCGAGAAATTGTAAAGGTCAGCCTTCGGAAACATTGCCCGTTAATAAACAGAAAAACTCGTATGGGTCTAAACTGAAGGAACAGATGAGAAAAGAAATAGAGGAAGAAATGAAAAGCAAATATCAAAACAAAGAAAACGAAATAATGCAACATAGCGAAGAAATTGAAGTCGCGAATGCACGCGAGGCTCAGCCGAGCGTCAAAACTAAAGCAATACCAAAACAACCCGTCGTAATGAAACAGCCAGAGCGACAATTAACAGCAAGAGAGCTATTACAACAGTCATACAACGAAATGAAGAAATTGAAGCAACAAGAGAAAGCCGAGAAAATAGCAAGGTTTAAAACAAGCATGTTTTAAATTATATTTAATAATTATTATCTACTATTGAATATAATATGAGCATTTTTAAGAGCAAACCAGAGATGAGACGTATGCCTATGGTAGAACAATACTATGATTTAGAAGAATCAATCGGAGTAGCAAGTCGGAAGAAAGAACTCGAAGACATGAAGTTAAGAATAGAAGAAGCGGAAAACAGAGCTAAGAACGTAGCGTTAAGGAACGATTGGATAAAACATCAGAAGCAATCGCTATATCAAGGCCAGTTAGATGATATCAATAGACAATTAGAGAGACCATCAATGCCAGTAAGAACGAAAGAGGAACTGATGAAACGTCAAGATGAATTAAAAACTATAATGAAAGAAATAATTTAAATCTAAAATAATAATATTAATGATTAAAACGTTAAAATCTGAATTAAAATTACGTCCGACGTATGATGAGTTAGTCGGTATGATTGAAAGCCAAGGCGACCCTAACAGACCACCAATAGAGAAAATAATTGACAGAAGAGCAACATTATTTAGAAATAATCAGTTCGGTAGTCAATTAGATAATGTTGATTTTTTGGGGTTGAAGAAACAAGAAGAAGACAAATTAAAAGAAGAAATGAGACAAACACAACTGAGACAAACGGCAATAGCAAGAGGGACATCGGTAGGAATGCTAAACGCCCAGACATCAGTAAGTTCATCAATGCCAAGTGGTGCAACAACACCATTTTTAGATTTAGGTTCAACGCCTTCGGAAAGTGAAGTGCCAAGTTTAGCCATAGAACAGATTGACGCAATACGAGCCGAATTAGAACGACACAACCAATTTATTAGGAATACGTCATCATCAACAGCCAATGAAGCAAGTAGTGAATTAAGAGAAGTGGGCGACCAAGAAATACCGGACGGCGTAATTTTAGAAGATGAATTAGAAGAAGATGATGACGATGAAATGCCACCGTTAGAAAGTGTGCCACCTTCAAGAGATGCGAGAGGAGTTAGACTAAGCAAAGTATCAAAAAGAATTAGAGGCAAACAAACCCCAACAACAGAAATACAACCTTCAACAAGTTCATCAAGCACAGCAAAAGACATATTAGTGAGTGGAGCAAAAGCAGGAGTAGAAACATTAGCAAAAGCAGGAGCAACAGCAATAGCAAAATCTTTTTTACCAGTTTGAGCATATAAAACAAATTGCTCAATTTTTCAAATTGAAGAATTTCTTAATTTATCTAAAATAAATTAACAAAATCTATCTTATTTTATATTATATGTTACGGTTACGCCCGACTTTTGAACAAATTGAACGAGAAGCGAGAACAAGCAGATTAAGAATATTACCAGAACGACAAAGAAGAACACAACAAGGGATATTATTAGATGAGGTCGATTTTGATGATTTTGATTTAGGGAAATATGATAGGAAGACAATATTATTAAATGAGAACCCAGAGAAGGGAACGCAAACAGATGTATTCAATGAAACGCCAAGCATAACAGAAAGCGAAAGTATGAGAACACCAGAAGAAGAAGTTAAAGAAGAACCCGAGATTGAAAGCGAAGAGAGCGTAAAGATAAGTGAAAAGGAACGCGACGGGGAAAGAGAACGCGAACAACCACAGAAAAAGTCAGTAATGCGAAGAGTTTATGATGTCATGTTTGGAGATGATGAGTTCAAAGAAGAAAGAGAAGAAATGCGAAACAGAAGGCAACAAATTGAGGAAGATGATTTAGATCGTGAAACACCTTTTGAACAACAAAAGAGCGAAGAGAGCGATAACAGTTTGCCTATGAATGTTAAAAAATCTTATGAGCCTTCATCGGAATCATCAAGTTCTCGTAGAAGTTCGAACAGAAGTGCATTATTGCCCGTTGAAGAAGAAGCATTAAGCGAATACATTCATTCATCACCACCTGAAACAGTTCAAAGTTCTGTGCGGAGTGATAGGACTATTGAATATGTTGATGAACCATCGCCGCCTCAAAGCGTTGTTAGTTCTCGTAGAAGTCAAGAAACCATTGAGTATATAAGAAGCAGAACGAGTTCAAGGCGTTCAAGTGGTCAATCTGTAAGTTCCTAAGCCAAGAAATAACAGAACCGAGGTAATGAAAAATCATTGAACAAAAAGACTTAAAGACTTGAAGCCTTAATATAGTAAGCTAAAATGAAAGAGCCACTGTGTAGATTTATAGAGTGTGAGGTCTGTAGAATATTCAACGGAACTGCACTTTACAGAAAAGAATATTTCAACAGACATTTGAACAGCAAAGCACATAAATTAAATGAAGAGTTTAAAGCAGTTTCAGACAAGTTCAATAACGAGAAAGACGAAAAGAAACGAGATACATTGTTTAAGGAGCTTGAAAAAATATGCGAAAAGCAAACGAAAACCAGAAAATCAAAATCTTTAGATATAAACAGAGACCTAACAGAAAAAGAGCGAGACGAATATCTCAAACAACGACAATCTGAACAAGACGAATATATTAAACAACGACAATCTGAACGAGAAGAAAGACGGAAAATTAGAAACAAAACATGAAAGTCAAAACTTACAACAAAAGGACTAACTATAACACGGTAAGCCCCAGAAGGTTGAAAAGTTGGGAAAAGACTGAAACGAAGAAGGGGGAGATATGGGGAAGAAATTAGGTTTATTGTTGCTATAAATCATAACAACAACAAACATTCAAACAATGATGTGGGAAGGACTTTAAGAATATAGGAACGCATAAGGTGGATATGTTAGATTTTGGGAATATTGTTATTTGTAGGATGGGCGGAATGAATGAGGTAGATTGTCCTTAGAATCCCCTATGGATAATGGATAAGGCGGGAAACGAGAGAAAACGAATGAGGGGATGGTAAAAAGTTGGGGCTAAAAATTCGGCGGGAAATACGGGGAAACTGGGCTTAGGAAATGCAACAGGTAGCGAAAGAACATAGAACTAAATAAGGGGGCAGGGTCAAGAAAAAGCAGAGCTGGGGGGCAAGTGGGTAGCGATATAACCCTGAAGCCTTAGCCTGTGAAACCCCCTTTTACATATTTTTTCCCCCTGCCCCACCCCCCCCCCCCCCCCCCCCCCCCCCCCCCCCCCCCCCCTCTCCCCACCAACAAAATGCAGAATGGCCGCATGAGGCTACAACGCCTGTGGTCTCCTCAAACATACCTTGCAACCCTAAGTTTCAGCACTGGTCATCCCTAAACCCGAAAACTAGGCCTTAAACGGAGCCTGATCGTTCAAGAAGAGCAAAGCGCACAATTTCATCATCCTTAGAAGTTGCCAAAGAATTGGGAACTTCAAGCAGCGCTGGGTTCCGGGTTGATGCAATGTGGCGCAGAGGTATACTTGGTGTCTTCGATGAATCGCGGGGCCTCCGATGTCGGCGGGAATTGCAACGATTCTCTAAGATGGGCCGAAGAGCTACGGCTCTGGTGACATTGGAGGGCTGTTCGTCGAACTCGAGTGGCGGGATGAGAAGCAACCACTGAGCTTGCAACTCGGGTTTGGGCTGCGACATGCGAACGGAACAATTAAAACCTCCTACATGTAGCTGAAGCGTTCGTGTTTAAATCGTTCCGAGGCCGCAGAAGCGATGGCACCCGAGTCAGGCCCAAGCGCACGTAACGAATAGAACGAGTGTCTCCTTCCACTTGTCGTCATCCTCACCTTTGCGCAAGGCCAAGGCCCAACAACTGTTAAGCCTAAAGAGCCCCCAACATCGCAGCCCTCCCAGCAGCTCTAGCACTCAGCTCTCTGACTCCCACCTTGAGCCTCGAGCACCTGCTGAAGGATTCGTCCGGCTCTCACAAGGAGTTCTGAAAGATGGCGTCTCTGACTTCAGCTTCCTTGGCGAATTAAGCCAACTAAACCCCTACAGACCCTTCAATCGAGGGATCCATGTGCTCGTGGGCATCCTAGGATCCTTCCCTCCAGCCCAGGTCGCCTTTGAAGACCGAGTCGAGGATGAGGTACCTTGCTTGGAAGGTGAGGGTTTCGGCTTAGGCGAATTTCCAAAATCTAGCCGGTTATAACAAAAACCTTACATGGGCCCGCGCTGAAACGGGACAGAATCTGGGTTTAGGGGCTGCGATGGAAGCCTCAGTCAAAACGAAACCAGCGGGCTCTAAATTCAGAACCGTTTAGGCCCACAAAGTCAGGCTCAGGCCAAACTTCTATGGTCTGGGGTACACACTAGCTGCCTTGCACTTGGGCCCCAAATCCCCAGCCCCACATAGCCCCAAACACTTGAGAACCAAAGCCCAAAAATGTCTTTACACTGCTTTACACATACATGAAAAGGCCTGTGTTTTTGCTTAGGGTTACGGATTGAAATATACTAGGGCGTTTGGCGAGCTGCTTGCCCGTGATCCCCATGGGCATCTTTTCAGCCAGTGAGATCTCCTGCGGATCAACTCAAAGGGCAAAGGGCCTGCACCTCCAAAATTCAGACTTTGGATCGCTGTTTCCGGAGGCCGCTACAAACAGAGGTTTGGCAATCCGAGCCCATGTTTTTGTTTCTGCGTGCGTCGGGTTGCGAAGGTTCGGGTTGAGGCTTTATGCAAAAGGGGCTTAGGGGTCCTAAGCCCTAAACCACCGGGAGCCTACCCTGAACCCGTAAACCCTACACCCCTAAACACTGTCGCTCTGTAAAGAAACCTCCTCAACGCCCACACAAGCTCGTCAACGCTAATCCTGGAACCCCAAACCTGTAAATACTGAACCCGTGCACCTTCAACCCCTGAAGCCCCGCAACCGTGTACCGCAAAGCCCTGCCTTGAGCGCTTCGAAAGCAATGTCGGAACTCCAGGCGAACATGGCACGTTTCATTTCCGAGGCCTCTGCCACAGGATTCTAGATTGCTCCGGCACCGTTCCGCACCCCCCCCCGACCCACCCCTCAGAATACGCGCCAAATAACCCATATTTGAGGATCACTGGATGCTCCCACGTCTGTGGTGCACAAGGCGAGTTGGAGGGACCAACATGGGGGGGGAATCGAGGGTACAGTTGCAGGGTACAAGCTCAGGTCCTCAAGCCTTCAGTGGAAGTCCTTCGAGGACGAGGGCTAAGCTCGTCAAGAGTTTGCGCTAAGAGTAGGACATCGCCGGCTAGGCATTGCGACCCCCAACCCTGAACCCAAAACCCAAACTCCCAAACCAAGGGATCCCTCGTGGATTCAGGTATTTATACCCTAGGGGAGGGGGGATTGCAGCAGAGTTCGACGCACCAGAAAAATAAATCTGGGGTGTGTTTTTACAAGGGCTGTGGGAAACGCAGGTTTGGAGCAGGCAAGTGTGGGGCATGGATTCTGATTCGTAAAGTTCCTCAAAGACCCTCAAAGACAGAACAGGGGCTTGGGACCTAGGACTTTTGGTTTACGTTGGGTTTAAGGAACCCTGGCTGTAGGCTAGCCTTTGGGTCTAAGGAACCCTGAACCGCGTTCAGAAGGGCACCTGAAGCATGAACTTGGGGAGCTAGGCAGCTTGGTTGAAGTCGCTGGAGGTTTATCATCTTAAGATCGGCGGCTCGCCTGTTTTGGATAGAGGCTAGCACGAGTAAGTGCAATAAATATGATGCCTTCCTTCACTGTACTCCCCACTCTATATTCTCTATGTGCGAGGAGGAACGTAAAATGTCAGGTTCAACTCGGCCACACACATGTTCGGATGGCGGGTTGACTGGCAACATCCCTCGTGAACCCTGCAACCTGTAACCATTCCAAGTAGTGAAGAAGCAGCACCTGAAAGCTCAACAAAGTCCGTTTACACGCCTTTCGCCCCTGGCCCAACCAAAGTCACCCTCTCCCCCCCGAAACAAAAATGAAGTCAATATGTGTATGTGCACATATACATATTGCGTAAATTCTGAAAACACGAAAGAAATACGTGTGAACGAACAACAAGCATAGAAAGCAAACATGTAAACAATAATGCTGAATCCCCTAAAATACATGTGACTCACGACATGTGACCCCCCCCCACCCCCCCTTCCGCCCCCTTCGAAGCCTCTTTGAAGTTGCCTGCGCCGTCCCCGGCGGTGGGACTGCCCTTTTTTCTGCTGGCCTCCAGCCAGCGCTGGGGTGTTTAGGTTTGGTAATGAGCATACGGGCTTAGGGCTTTGGGGCTTGGATGTCTGCGATTCAAAGGGCTCGCAGCTGTTTTAGCAGATTTTAGCATGTGGATTCTCATGGGTGTCTCGAATTTGTTGAGGGTTTGGTGTGTAGGGTTTGGCTCCCACAAGCTTGCACAGCAACATGTCAGGTAAATCCATCCTTAAAAGTTTGCAAACTCCATCATTCAAGGGCAATTTTGGTACCATCCCTCAACCCTAGACACTACAGTACACCCTCCAAAGTACCCTGCAAGAGGCCCGAAAACACCTCATGAGGTACCCCAAGCTAAAACCCTAAACACTAGACCCTAAAACTCTGATCTGATCCTTAATGTACCAGGGAGCATGGAAAGTCCCAAACACCAAAAAGGGTTCAATAGATTAGGCTTTGAGCACCTAGGTCTAGGTTTAGGGTTTGGGCCGGGTTTGGGGTTTAGCGTTTCAGCTTTTAGGGTTGAGTAGGTTTAGAGTTCGAAGTTTAGGATTTAGGTTTTGCTTCGGGGTTCTGGCTTGTGGCTTTAGGGTAACGCCGAGGCTTGTTTTTCACTAGCCTGGTACGAGGAGCCCCCCGGAAGAGGTGACCTGAGAAACTTCCTGAATAAGAAGAGGATTGGGGAAAGTTTATAACAGGATTGGGGAAAGTTTGTATCGGCCGGTCCTGTGCAACTCCGACTCCCTGTACACCTCCACCTTACGGTAACTTCGTACTGCTTGAACTTCAACTCAGCATTTTCCTGCGCGTAGGCAACCCCGAACGGCGACTCCAAATGTGGTGATGTACAATTTTCAGCAGCCTGTCTAGTGTGCCGTGAGTGCACTGTGTAGGGCAAGCAGTGCCGAGCTAATTCCGCAAACTGTTATGTCTATACGAAGCTAGTTATGAAACAAGAACTCCTGTCAAGGTCCGTGGGGTTAGCTCGAGATTGGGGAAAGTACCCCAGACAAAACCCTAAACACTAACCTTTTTTGGGCGGCTTTTTCGGCCACGGCCAGAGCCCTGACGCCTTCGTGCCCGCCACTTCTGTGACGACTTTGTGTAGCTTCTCCAGTGTCTCCGGGTCCATAGCCGACACCTCAGCGTGCAGAGTTTGCTTCAACTTGGGGGGTGTTGGGGACTTATACATGCCAGTGCGATGACAGGTGGGATTCAAACATGCCGGGCTTGTGCTCTGCTGGCTTGGAGGTCGTAGCTCTCAAGGGTTGCCATTGGCTTCCGGGGTTTACCGGGGTGGGGACGGCGCATGCGCGTGCAAATGTCGCCAAGAAGCCGGCTTTGATGTGGGCACTACTCTTTTCAATAGAGGAAACACGAAGATAAACACTTTTACATATGAACATATTATCGATCTATATGCATATTACCTATATGTACTTGATTATCTATATGAAGTACCTCTTTTTACTCTTACTTACTTGTGCACGATTTTAAAACGATGCAGTTCTACATATATGCACATGTATAAGATACACGCGCGCGTCATGAGATGTTCCTTCCGGCCGTGATTTCGGGTGCGTCGTACTCAGGAATCATCGGATCGGCCGCATTGCCAAAACCGAAAGGGTGCCCTGTTTTTGCTTCGTGTCGCTGATAGGGGAACCTAACCCTGAACAAAAACATGCTCAACAGGAATTCTCTTAAACGACCCGCGCGACCCACTGAGGGAAACAGTAACACATTCTCATGGGCCTACCCTACCCCGAACCTAAAACTCTAAAGCCCTGAACAGCGCTAAACCTCCCTCAAGGACAGTTGGCAATGTCTTTCAAGTCGGACTCGCCCATCTTGCTGGTAGCGGCTCCGAACCTTTGTTTCCACGGAGGGGGGTTGAGGTGGGTCGGGGTGGTGGGGATGTGGGGGGCGGGTGTGGGAGAGGGTTTTGGGGTTCAGGGTTGGGGTCAACAGCTATGACAGTCCAAAAAACGTCTATACTCAAGTTCGACCCTCACAGCTTGGTGCAAACATCGACATGCTTCACCCTAAGAAATAAAGGGGTGCCTCTTTGAGAACAAAGCGGGTATACCCACACATCTCCCTTTATATAAATGGGGGCATGTAGAATACGCAGGCTCACTCTTTAGGTCGATTCTACACTACTGAACCCGATAGTCGCTTGAGTCTATGTAGGCAAGTTCTCTTGGCAATCAAGCTCTATAGGGGCCCCGCTTTCTGCTAGATTTTATATCTTGGGTAGTTTGTACTCTTGTACTATAGGAACTATAGGAACTACGAGGGATATTAAGCAAACCGATCCACCAAACTTTTCAACAGCCGTAAGAGGCGAGACATGTAGGCTCTTCCCTACTCTCAGAACCCCGGAAGCCCAACACAACTTCGCAGAAGAACCACGTAGTTCGTCAAGCCTCACACCGAAGAAATCTCAACCCAAAAGGATGCTGCGTCCCTGCTGATGGAGCGCTTGTGAAAGTTCTGGTGTTGGCTAAATCGAATCATCTGGACCCCTAGACTCATAGCTGCTCCAACAAGCCAAAATCATCGAGCCGGCCGAGGTGCCCAGCGGCCGACGATGCCCCCCCACCCATGGTGTCCCAAAGGAAGCGACGGTCTGTCACTTTCACTTAAACTTTCGGGTCTGAACTGCTTGTGAGCCCACCGCAACGGAAACTACACTCTCAACCCCGCATGCCTCTTTCTCGTACACGTACATCTTACAGCCCTTTCAAACATCCACTCCAATACCTTCGCAGGTGTTTCGTATCTTCCTTTTTCTGAATCCAAACCTAGCTCGTACAAAGGACAGATGAGAGGACATGGAGCTTGTCGGGTCCTTCCACAGAATTCAGACACGTCCTGGATTTGGGAGTTTGAGGGCTAAACTCTTCAGGGATCTGCGCAGGTAGGGCGCTGAGAGAACCCAAAACCCTGTAGGCTGTAAACCTATCAGCCTATCACACAAAGGCTGCAAAACCTGAGTAGAACCTGTTTTCTCTCCGGTTCACATGGTTGCCGCCAGGCGTACGCGAGCAGCCTGCTTCTTGGAAGCACGCTCGCGCCAAGTGATGGAGCATGAAAGTCCTGAAGATAGAAGCCTTGATTGGGATCATCAGCTTTTGCCACAAATCCTAGAAGGAGATCTGCAAAACAGCATGATTCCTGAATTACCCTAGGTTCTGAACCAAGACTTCATGTACCACTGCCTTTGCGCGCAACAGCCTTCGAGGAGCCTGAGGTGTAGTGTTCGGAAACTGTGACCAGAGAAAGCGTGGCCTCCGCTTTTTCTGATTGATTCCATTCAGGGCATCCGTACGTTGCCAATACTTTACAAGTCGCAGGGGGAGGGGGCTTAAGGCTTAAGGTGTGTAGGATTTGGGGTGAACACATGCACTTTTCTTCGAGAAACAAACCTGTTGACTACTTTTTGGCAGTC